TAATCATAATCATCGTGATCGTCATCATCATAATCATAATCGTCATGATCATAATCACAATCATAGTCGTGATCATAATCATCATAATGATGATCACAATCAATCACAATCATCATCACAATCATCATCATCATAGTCATAATAATCATAATCATCAATCATAATCATCATGATCATAATCATCGTAACCGCCATCATCATCATAATCATCATGATCATAATCGCAATCATAGTCATGACCATAATCCTCATAATCATCATCACCACCATCATCATAATCATCATAATCATAATCATCATAATCGTAATCATGATCATCACAATCATCATTCATAATCATCATAATCATCGTAATCATGATCATCATAATCGCAATCATAATCATAATCATAAGCACAATCATAATCGCGATCATAATCATTATAATCGTAATCGTAACCGTAATCATCATAATAATCATAATCATTATCATGATCGTCAGTCATAATCATCACAATCATCATAATCATAATCATCATAATCATAGTCACCATAGTCATAATCATCGTAATCATAATCGTAATCAACATAGTCATAATCATAATCGTAATCATCATGATCATCGTCGTCATAACGTTAACCGTAATCATAATCATAATCATAATTATCATAATCACAATCATCGTAGTCGCCATCATCATAATCATAATCATCATAATGATCATTGTTATCATCATAGTCATAATCATAATCATCGTGGTCATAATCATAATCATATTTTCATAATCAACCGTCATAATTATAGTCATAATCAATCACCATAATCGTAATCGTCATAATCATAATCATGATCAACATAATCGTAATCATCATAATCACAATCGTCATAATCATAGTCATAATGATCGCAATCATAATCGTAATCATGTTTTTCATAATCATAATCATTATGATCATAATCACAATCGTCATAATCATAGTCGTAATCGTCGAAATAATGATCATAGTCAGAATCATAACCATGATCATCACAATCGCAATTAATCATCGTAATCATAATCGTCGTAATCGTCATCATAGTCGTAATCGTAATCATCGCAATCATCATAATGATCGTGATCATAATCATCATTATCGTATTCATAATCATCGTAATCATCACAGTCATGATTTCCATAACCATAATCATCGCAATCGCGATTATAATCACAATTATCATAATCATAATCATCATAATCATAATCGTCGTAATCATAATCATCATGGTCCTAGTCGTCATAATCATAATCGTGATCATCATCATCGTCATCACCATAATCGTCATCGTAATCATGATTATAATCATCACAAGCATAATCATAACCGCCATAATCGTAATCATGATCGCCATAGTCATGATCATAATCATCATAACCATAATCACCATATTCGTAATCACAATGATGATAATAATAATAATTATAATCGCGACCATTATTATCGTAATCATGATCATCATAATCACGATCATGATCGTAATCGTAATCATCATCATCATAATGATGATAACCATGACCATAACCGTAGCCGTCACAATCATAATCACCATAACCGTAATCATAATCTTAACCATCATAGTCATAGTCATCGTAATCGTCGTCATCATCATCATAATCATAATCATCATGATCATAATCGTAGTCGTATTCATGGTCGCAATCATCATAATCATAACCAGAATCATAATCATAATCATGATCGTCATAATCATAGTCATAACCACAATTAACCATGATCATCGTAATCATAACCATTGCCAGTCATAATCATAATCATGATCACCACAATCATCATAATCATAATCGTAATCATGATCATCGCGACCATCATATTCATAATCATTATAATAATAATCATCATGATCGTAATCATCATAATCGTGACCACAATCATAATCATCATGATCATGCTCATCATAATCACGATTATGATCATCGTAGTCATAATCATAATCATATTTTTCGTAATCACTATCATCATAACCGTGATCATAATCATCATGATCATAATCGTGATCATAATCATCATAACCATAATCACAATCATCGTAATCGCAATCACAGTCATCATAGTCATAATCATGATCATCATAATTGTCATAATCGTAATCACGATCATCATGATCATCATGATTATAGTCA